TGGTCTTGTTTCCTTTCATCTCCAGCCAAACAAAAAATAAAGAGAAAAACACAGATGCTAAAAGACTCACTGGTAATTAGCACATTCAAGCACAAGGAGCCTTGATACAAAACTACAACACAATACAAAATTTAATTTGTAAAGCATCTTTCACGTCGGGAGGATATCCCAAGGTACTGAACAGTCAGGGATTAGGACTTGAGCGGGGGGTTGGGAACAGGGAGGGTGGAGGGCAGAGAAAATAGGAGGGTGTCCAAAGGCATGGTTGCAGAGGAGGGTCATGCATTTAAAGAGGCAAGGGAGGGTGTGAGGTGAAGGGAATGTGGGATGGAGTTCCAGTGTGTGTGATGGGGTCACGGAGCCTGGTGCAGGAGAGGACAGGAGCTGCAGAGTTCTGGGTAATCCGCAGCTTGTGGAGGGAAGAGTTGGGAAGGCCGACAAGCAGGGTGTGGCATAGACGAGCCTGGTTGTAATGAAGGGATGTTGGAGGGTTTCGGCGGCCTGAGGGTTGAGGCAGTGCCGGAGTCAGGCAACGTTGCGGAGATGGGGGAAGGCAGAGCGGGTCATGGTATAAATGTGGGGGAGAAAGGACAGTTGAGGGTCAAACAAGATGTCTAGTGTCCTGACTGGCTTGGTGAGGTGGAGTGTGCGTCCGTGGATGCTGATGTTGCCAGTGCCTGAGGGGCGGATGCACTGGTGCGAGCCAATCAGAAGAGCCTCGGTCTTGCTGACTTTCAACTGTAGAAAGTAAGCTCTCATCCGGGACTTGATACCTGACAAGTAGTCTGTCAGGACATCAGTGGTCCTGGGGTCGAGGGTGGAGGCAGAGAGATAGAGTTGTGTGTCATCTTGGGTTTGTGGCTTGTTTTGCAGCAGGTTGATTGTGCTTGGACAGCTATTGACTTGAAATTTTATGCAGAAGTTAAGAAAACCCACTCCAAAAATGATACTCGAAAATTCTCCGGTATTTTACACTATTTACCCATTACAGATTTGAATTCAGTTGGTACTAAATTGTCAGTCTCATTTGTTGATGCTAACATAGTGTAGGAAAGGGACTGGTATAGAGAGTGCCCTCCAGGGGTTGGGAATCCTATACAGTGTCAATGATGCGTGGCCCGTTGGACGAGCTGAATGACTTTTACTTCCCCGTCTTCTACTTGTTTGTTTAGAAAATTGGCCCACATTTAAAATAATTACAAGAATTTAAAGGGAAGTTAGAAAAAGAAATACACAGAGGGTGGTTGGAGTATGCAATTGTCTGCCACAAACCATTTTTGAAGTAGTCCATATATTTTTAAAAAAATAATTAACTAGATGCTGGGGAAAAAAGAAATATGAAATGGAGCAAACAGGAAAGTGGCTTAGATTCATGTAGAGAAAAATAGCAGTGCAAATTTGATGGGCCAAATGGTATGTACCTTTCCTGTAACATTCTTTGAGTTTTGTAAGGCTTATTTGACAGAATTGTTAATTCAAGACATCAGAATGATCACCACTTAATATAATGAATGCTGAGTCTGCCAAGTGTTTAAAGTAGAACCTGACATGTTCTTGGAGATGGATGCAGAATTGGTCGTGGGAAGACAGCTTACATCCAATTATTTTACATTGACGATGGTGGATACTGTATGTAGAAAAGATTACCCAAGGAAGCATGTGTGGTGATATATTGTGTCAGCAAATTCAAGAGGAGAACTGGCTAGCTCTTTGTCAATGATTAAGAAGTTGGAAAGTTGAAATAGTTTTTGAATTGCTTACTTTGGGACTGGTCAGATCTTTTCCAGACCTAAGTTCTTTGGAATAAATATTACTGTGCAAGTCCTCTGGGCAGGCAGGTGGAGTAAATGGCATTTTAACTCTAAGTCAGTTTATGTTGCGATTATATGGATCTGGAACACAATGCCCCAAAAACAATGGTAGACATTGTATGACATTGTATTTGCAGAGTTATTAAAATATTAAATGTAATACAGTTGAGGTGTTCAAATAAGTGCTTATATGCTCAAGCTATCTGATGTCTACCTTCGACCATACCTAACACCAGATGCAGTCAAAACACTCGTCCATGCGTTCATCACCTCCCGACTTGACTTCTCAAATGCCCTCTTTGTCGATCTCCCCAGCTCCACCATGGACAGGATCCAGCTGATCCAAAACTCTGTCACCCGCATATTCACCCGTACTAAACTCCGTACCCCCATCACACTAGTTTTAGCCAGGCTCCACTGGCTCCCTAGTGCGAAACAAGTCAATTTCAGGATCCTCACACTCATTTTCAAATCCCTTAACCTCCCTACCTCTCCGACCTGCTTACCCCCAAACCCACAACCCTCTGCTCGACTGGCTCCAGTATTCTGCATGTCCCTCATGCCCCCACCATCGGTGGCCGCGCTTTCAATCACTACACCCTGAAACTCTGGAACACTCTTCCTCTATCCCTCTGCCTTGCCCCTTCCTTCCGATCTTCAGATTGCGGCCGAAGACCTACGTATGGTCACCTCCACTTGCCCCCAGCTCGGCATTGTGCTCCGCCACTGTCAAGTGCTCTGGGACACTACCCTGTGTGAGGAGCACCATACAAATGCAAGTTGTGTTGTTGTCTATAAGGGTGCTGTTTGTTTTTATTAATAATCAGAATAATCAGTTTAGGAAGTTGTGTTTTAATCACAAAATTTTAATAGTAAGTCATAAAGAGTCTTTGAGTACTTTCTTCACATCTGTCTGAGCATTGTTTTTTCTTGTTTTTCCAAACTTTTCCAGCAAGATGTGACATTCCTCTTTGATATGCTGTCTGCACATCAAAATTATTTGGTTTCTTCTTTTATTTAATTCTTCTTTTATATTACAGTTGAGAGATTTCAAGAATAGCAAATATCTGATGTGAGGACAGTGTATTTAGAATTCAAAGCAAATATATTACGATTTGTAATGGCGTACTGTTGACTATTTGATATTGTGTGCATTCCATGAGTGATCGAAAGCAAAAAGCTTAAATCATAGCTGCGAGGAGCTAGAGATGCAGGTAATAATCTATTCAGCATTTGGCTGTCTTGAGCTCAGGAGTGCATTCTCATTCATCATTATTCACATATGTCAAAAAGTGTCAGCATAGATGTAGAATTCTATACATTTTTGTCCTGTTATATTACCTTTTAAGGCCAAAAATAGAATAACAGTGTATAATTTTACGCACAGAAATATGCCAATCAACCCATAAAGTCTGTGCTGGCATTTTTCTCCACATAAACCTTCTCACCTAATGCCACACTCCTGTGCTTATTAAAGTTCAATAAAATGTGTTCTTCATACACTTTGATATCCCTCGTTTTCAAGCATTTAGCTGTTTTAAAAAATAATTAATAGACTGCTTCAAGCAATGGTTTGAGGCACAAAAATCCACATTCCAACCAGATTCCTAGAATATATTCAGATCACCTCCCAATGTGGCATTTCCCCACAGAACACACCAAGGTCCATCTGCTGTCCCCACCATGTAATGGATGTTTTTACCAATAGTTATGCTGACATTGCCTCACTTATTTGTACCCTGTTTCCCCACATGCCTGCCATCCTCTCTGTACTGCCACCACTGCCTGAGCCTTCAGTTACAATGCCCCTAACATCTGAGACTCCCTTCCTCTACTCTCTGCCCTCTATCTCATCCTAAAATTCTCTACCACACCCCATCTTTAAATCCTTTCTTAAAATCTACCTCTTTGCCCCTAGGATAGTGCTTCACAATGATGGGGGTTGGGCACGAGCAAGTGGTAAGGGGAGGTGTCCAACCCCCATCATTGTGAAGCACTATCCTAAGACATTATCCTAAGTGATGACTGCTGTTTAATTGCAAATTGTGTTCTTAGAATTGGTTTAGCTATATCATTGCAACATTCCAACTAGCCTCCTTGAATCTGATAGTGTTTTTTCCCCACAGGGCACTTTGATATTAGGTTGGCTCACTGGGTAGCACTTTCATCTCTGAGTCAGCAAGTTGTCAGTCAAACTCCATGTTGGGATTTGAGTTCATAATCTAACCTGTTACCCCAGTTCAGTGATCTGCAAAGACTGCAAATAACCCTATTTGAAAAGAGAGGAGTTTGTCCTCGTGTCCTGGCCAACACTCCTTCAGATTGATTTTTCATTCACCTCATGGCTGGTTGTGGAACCTTGTTTACAAAATAGCTGCCAAATTTGCCTAATGAAACCATTGCTATACCTAAAATTAATCATTCTGAAGAGCCTTGAGACATTTGGTTTTGATAAGTTGCTTTGTTTCCCTTTGCTTTGATGGAGCACAATAACTCAACAATAACATTTTGAAAGCGGTTGAATTGAGTGTGTTTTGCTCCGGCCCAGTTTAACAAACTGTGTGTGTGTGTGGGGGGGGCGGGGGGGTGCGTGGTGGAATGGAGAATATGTGTTGTTGGGAAGGACATACTTTGAAATCAGCTATCATGGAGTCCAGTAGTGTATTTGTTAGAGCATGCACCTCGCAAGCGAGAGGACCTGGATCCAGTTGGCTACTGCTGCAATCAATTCACTTTACAGTATATTCTGTGAAGCGGTTTGAGACGTCTCAAAGAAGTGATAAGGCACTGTATAAAATGCAAGAATTATTATTATTATCTACTAACTTGTGATTTGTATGTAGACCATGTACAGAAAGCCATGATTAATTGGAGTTGTTTTCACCTATGCTGTTCTCTTCTTAGCTACCGCACTGCATCCCATTTCTGCTGATACCGGCACACAGAATGCCAAATCATTCCTACTCTTTCTTTGAGCACTTTCTCAATCTATATGATGTGCTGCTAATGTGTGCAGCTCACAGATGTCTGCAGCTCTTAGCTAATTAAAAAAACAATAATTAAAATATTATAATTAGATCCAATTTTAAAAGGAATTTGTGACCAGGAGTCAACATGATATCCTGTGGATCAGAAAAACAAAGTTTATGTTTATTGCAAAACTAATGATTTGTTTTATGAATTTTACAGGGACATTAAGCCTGACAATATTCTTCTGGATGACCAGGGTAAGTGGCAAAAATGTACTTACATTTAAAACAGCTTAATGGAAGATTGAGATATAGTGTTGTGGGAGGCTGTTCTTCAAGTGTTCTGGGACTCTACCCTGAGTGAGGCGCAATGTATAAATGCAAGTTGTTGTTGCTGTCGATTTTGTTGTTGTTGTTGTAGGCTGTGTTAAGGCTCATTCCACTTGTAACACAGAATTGTGCCTGAGACAGTCTTCTTGATTGTCAGTGATAATGATGTCAAATGCAAGGATTATTATAATTATTATTATTATTGTTATTATTATTATATCTCTTGGCCTACTCAATGAAACTATTTCTCTGAGCTGCCACTAAACTATCAATATGTTGTTTTAAGTAGTGCATATGAATATATGAAGATAAAGAAAACATATATTGCCATAATTACCACTGACACAATCAAGAAGACTTGTCTCAGGCACAATTCTGTGTTACAAGTGGAATCATTTCTTAGTCTGGTTCTTTATTGGCTTCCAGCCTTGTTACAGAGGAAGTTGTCTTCGGGAAACTGATCTCCGGGTATGATGTTGAAAAGCAACCCCTGTAATAGGCAAATAATAATAATGATAATCCTTGCAAATGTGGTGGAGAATTGGATTTGACATCTTGAGATGAATTTTTAAATCTCTGTCAAATAAGTAACATTAGCAAACCTGGGTTCCTTAATGGTGCCACAGAGCAACTGGAAGGAAGCCTTAGTCTAAATGCACTGTCCAGTTGTCCTGTTTGTTACTGTCCTAGGAGCCATTTATGTAAAATCTTGAACTTTACCTAAATTTGCATGAGTTTATCATTTTAAAGGTCTCCCTCTTTGGCTCGTACCTTAAAGGATATTAATGATTAACGGTCTATTCTTACAATTGGTTAACAGCACTAATCTAAAAACCATTAAAGCCATCAAACTTACGCGGATTAATATGGGTCAATTTGGAAGGTTTGACAGCTAGACATAAAATGCAAAGTATAATGAATCTTGAGCAATAGCTCATTTTTTCAATGGAAAGAATGCCGTAACTTTGAATGAATGGGCCTCATTTTAAAAGAGACAGCGAAGTGTTGTGGGCATGTAGCTTAGATCTGCTGAGCATTATTGATCTTGTTGACAAAACATGTTTTGGATTGGTCCCGTTACGCATGATATATCTTCGAAGGAGGCTTGCTATCTTTGAATCTTGTTGTTGTTGTTTCAGATGAGACAATAAATACTGGTCATATTTGTCCATTCAGGTGGATGGTTAAGTTCCTGCAACCTTATTAGAAAAGAGAAGGGAGGTTCTCTCTATGACCTCATCAACAATCTTCAAGATAAATTGATTGTTGACCTCATGGCTGTTTGCGAAACCTTGCTTTGTGTAAACTGGCTGCCACACTTATATAAATAGACAGTCGTTTCACTCAACAGCAATTGCCTGTGAAGCACTATGAAGCAGTTCAAGATGTTGTGACATTATAGATATTATGTACCAAATGCAAAGATTATTTACCATTTTATGAGAGGATTTCATGTTTTTTTGGTGCACTTAATCTCTTCTCAATTAGCCATTGTGTAACCTCAACCTTCTCCTCTGTGCTCCTCTACTCATTATTAAAACTGTTCTGTAAGAGAAGGCGGGATTGACTGACAGAGAAAGATATGTTCAAGCTTCATTAGATAGTTCAGGCTCTCTGTGATCATAAACCTTTGGCAATGTAATGGTGGCAAGTACAATCAATCCAATGTGTCCAATAGCTAAAAATATTGAAAGTTACTACGCTGAGTGTGAGCTGGAAGGTAAGTGCTTAAGACAAGATATCAAATCTGTAAGAGAATTACAGTGTATAGAAGGTTACAACACGTTTGTGCTGGCCTTTTTTTTCAAGCAATTATCTTGTTCGCATTCATAAGAATTTATGATCTACATTTGCAACCTTGTTCTGGCAGAGAATTCCAAATTTCACTCAATGGGCAAAGACTAAATCTGGCCATAGTTAAGTCTGTTGAAAATGCAGTGGGAGCGGCTATCCAACAACAACAACTTGCATTTATATAGCACCCTTCACGTGGGGTAGTGTCCCGGAGCACTGGGGCAATAGGGTTGCAGGGGATTAGAGATCAGGTGGAGAAAGACTATGGAGGCATTTGAAGGTAATATAAGGTTGAGCATCCTAAAATTGATCCATTGGGAGGTGAGGAGTCAGTGGAATCAAGCAGGAGTGGAGGTGCTAGGTTTAAGTAGCCTAGTGTGGAACAGGATGCATGCAGCAGAGTTCTGGATGGTTTGAAGCTTGTGGAGGGTGGAGGCTGGTGTTGCTGGAGGTGACCAAAAGGTGGATGAGGGTTTGGCTGCAAAGTAGGTGAGATAGTTACTGAGTTGGGGGAAAGCAGTCTTGTTCAAAACCTGGTTGAAAGGAGAGTTAAGAGTCGAATAAAATGTTAACGCTCCTCAAGATTCCATAATCATTCAGAGAGGTCGATACAGAGAGGTCAATATGGTCATGTCTGAGGTGAGGAGGCATTGATGGGATCTGGGCAGGAAAGCCTCAGTTTTGATAACTTTGAGTTTGGCAAAGTTTAGGCTTATCCAGTACTTGAAAATATGGATTATTTGTCTCTAACTCCTTAACTTCAGCAATAATGTGAGGTCTGAGCCATGGCTTCCTTTCTTAGTTGTAAATCCTGATTTTTAAGCTGCATTTGAACCTTTTGTCACAATGAGCAATTTGACTGGATTAAGTGTCTCCATCCTCTTATAATTTGGGTCATAACCCTTCAGTGATTAGGGTTGACGAGGAGAGCAAGGATAACTTCTTTAACCTTTTTNCTCAGAATAAAATCTTGCATTACCTTGAACGATACATGGAGAGAGCTGCCCATTTTATTCCAGTTGGAGGGAGAGGGGAAGGAAAGGACAGCTTGAGCAACTTCTTATACAGCAATAAGATTACTCTTGTTAGTGCATCAATACATTTCTTCATTGAGCCCGCAAAAGTCTGTAGTTTTAAGTGTCTTGTTTGGCACGCAAGCTTGGACAGAATGACATTTTGTCTGTGCAGTGGTTACATAAGCCAAGGTTAGAAGCTGGAGGGCAGAAGAAGACGTGGACTTACAGTAATTGTACACAAGTAACTGATGACAACTCGTACTGTTCTACAGGAGAAAGAGGCTAACCCGTGCAACAATGGGAAGAAAGTTTCTCTCCCTCGCTTCCCCGCTAAATCATAAATGTCAATAAACATGACAAAGAAGAATTTACGTATAACCATAGCATTAATCGTTAGGAGTCTGCTGTGTGTTCAGTGAACATGATTGCATCAGTTTTTCTGTCGCTCCGCATACCTGGAACATTTAATCAAAGGAATCCAAATTAATTTGACGTTCCCCACCAAAAACGAGACCACACCCCTTCTAAGAACTGGCTGACTGAGAGCAGAAAATGACTGCACTACTCCATCACACAAGTTTAATAATTCAGTAATGTGTGCAGATCTTGTATGATGTATGCCAAATGATGAGCTTGCAAGAATCGTACTGTTTGTTATCTGATTGCAATTTCCCAAAATGCTTTTGATAGCCTCTGAATATGTGTGGTGTCTTGGGATACAAATGCAGCAAACACCAACAAATGTAAACTTGATGTGTGAATATTCTATTCAAGGAATATTCTTCAAATGGCAGTGTTAGCAAAATTGTAATCTATTTTTCTACTTTGGTCTTTAAACTTTTGTTTTATTGCTGTCAAACTTTTGTTTTATTTCCGTCAAAAATGCTCAAAATATTTGAATTTTGTTCTTGATGGAGATGGAACTATTATTTTCTGATGGAATTCTGCTACATTCAATGTTGTGTCCGAATATCATTAATCTACATCAGAATATCGATAAAGTGGATAAAGGCAGTGACTGCTCAGTGCACCACTAGACTATATAGTATCACCCTAGTGATCTCAATCTCCTCGCTCTCCGTATTCTTCAAGATGTTTCCTTTTCGAGCAGTTATCAAAAAAAAATAATGGACTTAACTTCAACTGCAATTAAATATTATTTGTTTCAGGTTTTTTAAAAAAATCAAGTTTTCTGAATAAACCTGGGTACTGTTTGAATAGATCCCTTAAGAATGTCATCTTTGTGTTTTTCGTCAGCTGGGTGTCTGACGCAGGTGGAAACACATCACTTTAAGATTATCTGAACCGGACTGCAAGTTCCACAAATGCATTCCATCTACACATGGAAGTGCTCCTCTGTCTGGAATGTCATGCACATCTTTTAGAAGGACACACCCTGCTGACCTAATTCCAGAGAGTATTAGATTCAGGTTGGTGAAATGCAAGACTTAGGCCCTCGGAATAGGTAGGGTTCTGCTGACATTTAACCAGTGAAACCACATAATTTGTCATTGAGAGCACTGTCAGAGAAGATTCCCGTTGTTTGCCCAGCTAGGACCATCCTACCTAGGAGGACTTTGGCTTGCTGTGTTAACAGGACCTGAGTGATCTGCTGCTTGACTTTCTGTATTTCCTTTTAAATCTTCTAGGTCATGTGCACGTCACAGACTTCAACATTGCGGCTCTGGTGAATCAGGAAAAGCAGGCCACCTCTATTGCAGGGACAAAACCATATATGGGTAAGCCTGGGTTTCCTGGGTGATGTTCTTTGTGTCAGATTGTTCATTGCACTTTGATAACACACATGGTGAATGGGAGATTCCTTTAGAGGTGTGCAATCTATCGCCCCAATCAGATTTAACCTTATGATTTTTCTGGTGCATTTGGCTCAATGACATTCCACATGTTGCATTTATTCACAGTCATTAGGACTCAACTATAGTATCAAGATATGGTATGAGGTTACCCACAACACAAAAGAGCTTGTTGTTATTCAGGGCTAAACAGCACTGAGTCTTATTTTCTTCCAGCTTCTCTGTTCGAATTCTGGTGCAGGGATTTCCTTTAGGAATAGCTGGAGCAAGACACTGATGAAAGCTTTCCATATTATTGGAAATCAGGGCAGTCTTTATATCTTTCTAAAGGCACATCCTGCCTTTACTTAGTTTCTCATCCAAATGTCTCCTCATTGGAAATGTTCCAGCAAACGTCAATTAATGTGTTGTAATATATAATGTAGGTCTGATAGCTACTGTCTTGCAATGATAGACGATGCTAGAGAATCGATAGACAAGTCTACAGAAAATAACTTAAATATTGCTTTCCTTCAATGAACAGAAATTAATTAATATCACTTGTGCTTTTTTTCAGCTCCAGAAATATTTAATCCAGTTGAAGGCTCTGGATATTCCTTCGATGTGGACTGGTGGTCCCTGGGAATCACAGCCTACGAGCTCCTCAAAGGCCGGGTATAAATAGATGCCTAATATTTAACAACAAATCTTTCCATTGATGTCTAACATTGAAACATATTAAAGCATTCCACACAATGAAAAATGCAACTTTCAATGTCATAATTATTGCAATTCACAAGAGAAGTTCTGATGAAAAAGACCCTTTGGCCCATTTGATCTTATCCTTACAAAGCTCGTTTTCAAAAAATGTTGCCATCTTGGATTCCTGACTCACTGTTGTGGGCCCTGTTATATTTTAGCAACCCCAGAGCTAGAGTGTGAGTGTAGATCATATCCAATTTGTAGCTATTGTAAATTGTATTTCTCTTTGATCAGAAGCAGCAAATGGGGCAAAAGGCATTAGGGAGCCCTTCGTCATCAATATAATCCAAAAATTAGACCACTACAATTTTTTTTAGGAGATTGATTCAAGGAATTTTTCATTATTTGTTAGGCATACTGTGAAAACATTTTACACTATTGGAGGAAGGAATCTGGTTATGCCACTAGGAAATGGTATTTTAATGTCATACTTTGTCTTCTCACAGAGACCGTATGAAATCCGGTCCAGCACACCTGTTAACGAAATTCTTCACATGTTCAACTCTAACAGCATCAACTATCCCTCCACATGGTCCGCGGGTTTAGAATCGCTGCTGCGAAAGGTAAGACCACATTTAGCAAAATCTTGGGTGCTAACCGCTCTGAGGTTTGAATGCTCTTTGCAGGCTAGGCGCTGAAACACTTGGTGGAACATGTTCTCCATTATAATGTATCAACCTCCACCACTGTCAAATGGCTTGCACAGTCTGTGGTGCCTGCCCCTCACTAGCTATCATTCCAATCATCATCAGTCTACCATCAGTTTAGAAGGGAGTTTCTCCTGGTTTCCTGGCCAAGGTTCCCCCAGAGAAAAAAAATTCGCAATTTCACTTCATGATTGTTTGTGGGCCATTGTCACAAATTGGCTGCCATGTTCGTCTACAAAATCCACCATCACTACAGTTTACAGTAGCACTTGTGAAGCACTTCCAGATTATATCCTGACGTGAATGGCACTATATCAAATGCAAAGGTTATGATTATATAAGCGGGAAATCCACTTCAGTGCAATCTCCTTTCATGCCTATCGGAACAGAGAGCCCTTGACCCACATCTGGTGATCAGTGTGATTTGATATTTGCAGTATTTTGGTTCCTGCTGGAAATCTCGGTGGCTGTGATGTGAAAGCTTGACATTAAAAGCAATGGAGCCAAGAACCCCTAAACACAAATCCTTACAATAAATGCATCATGGAATAGCACAGCTCTAATTCTAAGTTTATTTTTCATCCTTCATCTTTATTCATTCTTCTCAGTTGATTACAGTGAACCCAGTCCAGCGCCTGTCCAGTCTCACTGATATTCGGAGCGTTCCTTACCTTGCAGACATGAACTGGGATGCAGCGCTGCAGAAAAAAATCACAGCGGGATTTATTCCCAATGTAAGTCGGTGTCTGCTATTTCAGCTCCAAGGTTTTCTGCTTAATTACATCATTAAGTCTACATAATTATTACATAATTCTATAAAATACACAGTTAATTCACTTTACAGTATATTATTATAACATATTTCCACAAAATACACATCAATTCACGTGATAAGGCATTATATCTGTGACGGTCTCTAGTAAGGTTCCTGCTCGCAGTATTCCAGGGCACTGCTGATGACAGCACTGCTGATTGGCTGATCCCACTCAGCTCCCGTCAATCCTGTGAGCCAAAGCCTTAACTAACGGGAAGGGTGGTCTTAGCTGGACAAGCAGTGGGAAAGCTTGCCATGCAGTGTTCTCAATGGGCGAGCTGTGGCGTTTTAGCTGGTTAGACTCCAGCAGTTACCTCGGTACACACTTTGGGGTCTCCAAACCTTGGCTCTCGCCAACTTGCATCCAATACTCTCCAGAATCAGATAAGAAGAGTGCATCCCTCCAAGGAGACTTTTGCGGACATGATTTCCAGTGTAGGTGACTTATGTATGTGGGACTCTTTCTGGTTTGGAAACTGTTGCTCACAGCAATGGGGAATTGGGAAAGGTGGGAAGACATTGGACAAAACTACAGACTTTTCCCTTTCTATCTTGTGTGGTTGCTATCTTGAAGACTGTTAACATGTAAATATATCTGCATGGCTTAGGTACTTTGATGCAGTGGACAACGAACATTGGAATGTGTAGTGAAATTTTATTTGTGGAGTCCCATAGCAAGTGGCTAGCACGCTTGCCTCTGAAGCAACAAGAGGACCCGGGTTGGATTCCCGGGTGGGATAGGGCAAAACCTTAGGCAAGTTTGCTTACTCCACACACACTCATCTGCAATACATAATGGGGGACTAGATTGAGATACGTATAAGACATACAATTACCATCAGTTACTTATGTCAAAGAATTTGACTTGTGTCAAATAAAAAATGTATAAAATTAAAAGTTTACATAATCATTTAATTTAGTTTTATTCATCTGGCGATGTGGGCAATGCCAGCTTTATTGCTCGTCCTTGATTGTCAGGGCGGTGTTGGCCATTCTGGTGTTGGGCGGGGATTTCCAGGATTTTGTCCCAGCAATGATTAAGGAACAGCGATATACATCCAATTCAGGATGGTGAGTAGCTTGGGGGTTCCTTGGAGTTGTTCATATGATATTACTGATCTTGTTCTTCTGGATGGGAGAGCTCACAGAGTAGGTAGGTGCTGTTGAAGCAATGAATCTAAGCTTTTCTATGATGGCTCAGTGTATACATGCACCAAGCAATTCCAGTTTCAAATCCAGGCATGTGCTGAATTATCTACTCTCAGCTGGGGTGGGATGTCAGATTGGGAAAGGATGGAGGTGCCTTGCATGGTCAGATAATATACTGATACTCACTATCTGCATTCGTACATAAAGAATGGCACTGGTGCAATTAGTGAACCATATTTCAGTGGGTTCAGGAAAAGAGAAGAGAAAATTGAAGGACAAGAAATTTACTTTGCTAACTCCATTACCTGTCTTGAATGTCCTGTTTATCTCATTTGATGATAGAAAGGACGCCTGAACTGTGACCCCACCTTTGAACTTGAAGAGATGATTCTGGAGTCTAAACCTCTTCACAAGAAGAAGAAACGATTGGCAAAACGACTGAAAGAAAATAGGAAAGATACCTCTGCGCTGGTCAGTGATCAAATCTCCAACGCACTAACTTACACTGTAAATTTACATTGTAGAAAACATCAAATCACAAGAATCCCAGGAGCCCTGACCTGTGGGTTATCGCTTTGCCTCGTGTTCTGTATAGCTTGAATAGCAAATAAGAGCTTAGTAATTAAAATATGAATGCAAAGTATTATCAGTGCATTAATGAGAGCCTCAACTATTCCAGTGCCACAGCATTTCTGTGCCATTCCATATAATTATAAATGAATAACCTGCAATTAAAAGATACACTGAGTGATACCAAAGCTTTGCCATAAATTAGTATTGTGTAGTATTTGGCAAGTTATTACATTTTTAATTGTTTTTCTACATTTATGAAAATACAGCTGGGATTAAAAAGAGTCTCAGGTCAACTCCGTCTCCTTTTGCTCAATATTGCTGTTTTAAAACAAATTACAGTATAGAATTATGGGAGAGGCAAGAATGAGGAAGGCCTTCCACTCCAGACTCTGAGACAATTATACATACAATATGCACAATGTGTCATGTACTGTACTTCGAAAAATGCCTGGGAAATGATGATAAATCAGTAGTTTTACAGTGAATGTAATTAAAAATAGAATAAAAAATAAGAAAAGGTTTGTAATATATTCAGACTTTGCACTGACTTGGCACAAATGAACGACAACTTCCCCCTCCTTGCCTTCTGTCTCCTTGTTTCCTGCCCTCTCCGTGCTAACCACACCTTTTTGCCTTTCACTCACAGTAGCTGAAAATACCAGCTGTAAAATGCATTTCATCGTTCCTCTGATGAAAGCTCTCATTATGAGAACCTGTTATGGAAATTTTGCTTCTCATCCCTGTAAACATTGTCTTCCGCTGATTTCCCAGTGCTGTGTCTCAGAATAACAATGTTGGTATACACTGCTATTAAATTTCCACAGCACAGAAATAAACTACAGGGTAATAATAATAATATAATAATATAATAATAATAATAATCCTTGCATTTGGTATAGCGCTTTTTACGTCTTCTCGATGTCTCAAAACGCTTCACAGAATAGACTGTGAAGTGAATTGACTGTATATTTGTGGGCGAAACACAGCAGCCAATTGTGCACAGCAGTGTCCCACAAACTGTTGTGGATGGAAAATGACCAATTTATCATTGTTTTTTGTTTTGGAGGGATTATTATTAGACGTGTGGAGTAAGGAAATTTGCCCAAGGTTTTGCCCTGCCTGGAATTGAACCCAGGTGTCTCGCTTGCAAGTCGAGTGCTCTAACCACTGAGTTACAGGACTCCACGAGGGTGATTGTTATGAAAGGGACACTGCTTTCTTGAAAGACCGTTTATCAAATCTGTCGTTGTTTATTTGTAAATACAGAGTATATCGGTGAACAAAGTCGCATTATGCAAAGTCCTGGCGCAATGCTTGAACCCACAACCTTCTGACTCAGAGGTGAGAGAGCCACCAACAAAGCCAAGACATGTAAAGAAGCTCCAAGGGTTAAGCTCTACCAACCAACTATCTCATTAGGCAGACATCAAGCAAAGGCATGAGAAATGGTCCGCGCAACAATAGGCAGACGGGACCTCAGTTAAACATCTCATCCGAAGGATGGCACCTCTGAAAATGGAACACACCCCCAGCACTGCATTGGAGTGCCAGCCTAGATTATGTGATTCCAAGTCCCAACGTGGGGCTTGAACTCACAACAGCAACAAAAACAACATTACATTTGTATAGCACCTTTTATGTTGGAAGGACATCCCAAGGCACTGGACAGTGAGTGTTTCGAACCGAGCTGGGGGTTGGGATCGGGGAGGGTGGAGGGCAGGTGGGAAAGGAGGGTGACCAAAGGCACCGTCGAAGAGGAGGATCTTGAGACGGGTCTTGAAGGAGGCAAGGGATGTGGCGAGGCAGAGGGACTGCAGGATGGAGTTCCAGAGGGTGGGAGCCCGCGGGGGACATGAAGCAGGCTGGAGGCCGCTGAGGGCCCGCGGGGGACATGAAGCAGGCTGGAGCCCGCTGAGTGGAGGGAGCGGGCAGGATGGTAGGGGATTAGGAGGTCGCAGAGGTAGGGGAGCAAGGCCATGGAGGGCCTTGAAGGTGAGGACCAGGATCTTGAACTGTATCCTCTGTGTGATGGAAAGCCAGTGGAGATGGGCGAGGATAGAGGTGATAGGGTCGTGGAGCCTGGTGCAGGAGAGGACACGGGCTGCAGTTTGGATGATCTGTAGCCTATGGTGGAAGAAGTTGGGAAGGTTGACAAGCAGGGAGTTTGCATAGTCGAGCCTGGATGTTATGAATGCATATACACGCAACTTTCTGACTGAGAGGCGAGTGGAATATTAAAGAGGTTGGGGAACTACTGGTGTGTAATTCATTTTTACTTGGGTTTCTGCAAAAAATGACACTCGTTTGTCACTTTAAGGATTCATTTGGAGGAGTATTGGTGTTTAATATTAACTGGAGCAGAGAATAGGAGCTTACTGGATAATTGGTCCTGGCATTTAAAGACTTGTGAAAAGAACATTGTGCAATTAATTAAATGCTGCAGAAAGAACAGCTGCTATTCACTTCAGAGCACGTCAGGATTTAGAGATGATTATTCAGGAAGCAGCGTCTTAGCTAAACCAAGGTTTAAGGTGATATTAGGACAGATACAATTCTCATAAAATTCTCATCTAGATTTTTCAGGCTCCTATAGATCCCACTGATCAGTCAACCTCCAGTGTTGTTAATATTTGATGAACGGTTATTGCTTTGGTTCCAAAGCAACCTTATCCAATTTTCTCCACTCTCAATTTCCATGTTGTTTACTGTAGGTAGTAATATCTTATTGAACATTTATACTGCTCCTGTGAGCCTAGGTTTAGTGTGAAAGTTCAGAAACAAGAGGGAAAGGGCTTGTGATTGGGCCAAAAGCAGACTGGATAGACTAACATCAGTTACCGGAATCCTACAGGATCCTAGGGAGCTTTACAGAATCTCAAAACAAAGTGTGTCTCTTAAAATAAATTTCTGCCTTGATAAAGGACCCAAAGGATTAATCACCCAACTTGTTGCATAGTTGCATCAATTGCTGCAGCACGGAAACAGGCTACTTGGCCCAACTAATCTGTGCCGTTAATTATACTCTACATGAACCTCCACCTTTCCTGTTCCCCTCACCTATAATAATAATAATAATAATATCCTTACATTTGATATTGTGCTTTTCACGGCTTCTAGACATCTCAAAGCGCTTCACAGAAAAGACTGTAAAGTGAATTGACTGTATATTTGTGGGCGAAATGCGGCAGCCAATTGGGCACAGCAGTGTCCCACAAACAGTTGTGGTTTGAAGTGACCAATTTATTATCGTTTTATTTTCTTGAGGGATTATTATCAGATGTGTGGAGTAAGGAAACTTGCCCAAGCTTTCACCCTGCTGGGAATCAAACCCAGGTCTCTCTCTTGCAAAGCGAGTACTCTAACCACTGAGCTACAGGAAATTTTCTCTTATTCTAAAATTCTATTACTTTTATAATTATTTTTCCTTGCAAAGATTCACTGAAATTTAAATGCTTTCTGTTTAGGTTCTCTCCTCTGATTACTGAAAGCTTTACCTCCTTAAATCTTATATCTTATATTATATATTACTTATATCTTATATTTTGTTTTATCTCAAGCACGTATCAAGTTTTCCTTTAAGTACATTGATGATATTTACTTCATTCACAATTTCTAGCAGTTGAGTTCTACATTCTCACTAGTCTCTACATGAAGAAGTTAAAAATCATAGCAACATGAACTGAATGACTATAAAGATAAGGAATGAAATGGACTGACTCAGGTTCTGACATTCGCACTTTCTGCTCCTCTCAACGGTAGGTTGGACTCAAATTTTGCTGGAAAAACCTGCCTGGATCATTTGGATAAATTATCAATTGGGCCTATACATTAAGGTCCAACCAAGACCACCTTTTCTCTGGAAACAAGGAAGTATATGAGCTCAAGTCAACCCATTTGATTCATCTGCTCATTGCCCAAATTGTGGTGCTAACAGTGGCTGTGGTTGGTCTGTCTGTCTGTCCGACTGAAAGAAAGTTTGGGCATAGTCTTTTCTTATGGAGAGATGATAATCTTAATTGAATAAATAATGGTACAGACTGTTCATTATTTGATGGTGTAGTTCTCAACAGATTTCAACATACAATCCCTAATCCCTACTTCTTTAAGCAAATTGGAAATGAATACTTAGCACTGTTTACACAAAAAGCTGCTATCAATCTGCTAAAGGCGTGTTTTAGGCACTGCAATGTCTAGAGACACAACCTTAATAATAGAAACATAGAAACAGGAGTAGGCTGTTCAGCCCCTAGAGCTTGTTCCATCATTTTATAAGATCATGGTTGATCTGTACCTCAAGTCCAATACCCCAGCCTTGCCCCATATCCCTTAATACCCTGACCTAAGATTATGCCCCCTTGTTCTGGATTTCCTCTCTAGAGGAAATAGTTTTTCTGTAACTACCCTATCGAATGCCTTTATTATTTTAAAAATCTCAATCAGATCACCCCTTGACCTTCTAAACTCAAGGGAATGGGGACCAAGTTTATACAACCTGTCCTCATAATTTAACCCTTTAAGCCCCGGTATAATTCTGGTGAATATGCGTTGCACTCCCTCCAGAGCCAATATATCCTTCATGAGATTGGGTGCCCAAAACTGAACACAGTGCTCCAGATGGGGTCTGACCAAAACTCAATGTAGTTGAAGCATCATTAAATTTGAGAAACAATAATGTCTCAGCGGCACTTAAGAGAACAATCAGCAACACATGTTTATCAAGCCTTCAAGTTATTCACGACACACTATAATTTTAAAAATTAGAGAAATCTTCCAGCAAATGTAATTGATCTATTTATGGAATGTCCTTACAGAGCAACTTTATATGTATTTTTTTCATATTTCTTCTCTCATTTCATGCTTGCTATCAAATCCATCAAGTTGTGTGACGATCAAGGTTATCTCCTGTTCAAAAGAGATAACCTTTCCCGAGCAGTAGAGGAGCGCATGAATTCTGAGTGACACTTTATCTGATCTGGCCACCTATTGTGAGAAATTTGAGTGCATTGATGTGATTTGGAAAATGTAATTTCTGAAAGGTGTTTGTAGATCAAAAGGATAATTTAATTTTTAAAAGTGTTTCATTGACATAAAAAACTGTCAGGAAGCTGCATGGAGATTATAACAAGTACCAGCTCAAATTATTAGTGAAATTAATCTGTTCCTTAAAGAATAAAATATATTTTTGATCCATATGATAGCAAGCTGTGCTAAGTTAGCTGATCTCAACCAGGGTCGCAGTTAGGGCATTACTATTATCCTCAGCTACTGGGATTAGGGAAGGGAAATCAACCAGGGATCCAGCTCCTGATTGCTACACAGTGATTACCACTATAGGTGGAAAGGTAGAAGTCCTCTACCGTAGCACACTCACCTCGCAAGAGAGTGGACCCGGATTTGATTCCCGAGTGGCATGAAACCATAGGCAACATTTCCTTAATCCTTAATTCTGTGACCTAGCAGTAAGTAGGAACACGGTTGTTAATCGACTGGCAGATCGCTTTTTTGGGGGTAATAATCCCTTAAAAAAACGTTTTAAAAAAGAATAATTTGATCACTCAATCCATGACTGTTTGTGGGACACTGCTGTGCACAATTGGCTGCCGCATTTCGCCCAAAAAATATACAGTGAGTTTACTTTACAGCATATTCTGTGAAGCGCTTTGAGACATCTCAAAGACATGCAAGGCGCTATATCAAATGCAAGGATTATTATGTTGAATGAGGACAGACGTGGGTGGTCATTCACTTTCAAGGATCCCGTGAACTTGGAAAGTTACGTAAAATGCAGCAACAGTGATGGAATCATACAGTATCCCCCACCCCCCCGAAGTAGAAGAAATGGTTCAAAATATCTTGAGAGGATGGGAAAAAATTGGTGAGGAAGGAGAGGACAATTTTTTTTTGGTGACTTTGTCTTCTCTCAGACTGATAGAAGCATTTAAGGATTCATTTGGAGGAGTATTGATGCAATTTTCTGCTTTGAAGCTTACAATCTTCTTCTTGGAAGTGAATCTACTGAATCAAATTGTACACGGAGCTACCTTGTCCTGAATACCAATCCTGTGGTTTTTATGAGAATTCCTATTGTAAAACACAATAATAATAGCGGAGGATATTAAAAGTTAGTGTAAGATAAACCCCAGTCGGTGATGTTGTTTTGAAACAATGCCAGTCCAGCACTGGTAATATCTAGAGACCTAGATATCTTTCTTTAGAGATAAAGTGCTTGTTTCTGTTTTGACTCAAGAAAAAAAATGTTGATCGAGAATACTTTTCAGAATTTATTTGACCAAGACGTAAGTGAGAATAACACAGTTTGTTTGTATTTAACCATGACAACAACAACACATTACATTTGTATAGTGTCTTTCATGTCGGGAATATATCCCAAGGCGCTGACAAGTGTATATTAGTTAAATGTAAGATGTCTCAATTATATTGAATGATAGTTACTCCATTTGAGAAACCTATCTCTTTGACTGCACCTTTGGTCACCTTCTTGTCTCAAGTTCCCACTCAGACCTTAGTAAAGCCCTTTGAGATATCCTCCTTCTGATGGAGCTTTCTAAATGAAAGTTGCTGTTGATGATGAAATAAAAATGCAAATAATTCAAGTTTATAATCAATTTATGTATTTGTCTCTTTTCATCTCCTTATGATATGGTTGTTCAAAATTTGAAGAACGGACACCTTCAGCAACATCTGGAAACAGTCCAGAAGGAGTTCATTGTTTTTAACAGAGAAAGGTAAGTAGGTCTGACGTCGCATTAGACTGCACCTGAGTTATGTATCATTGTGTAACTGCAACAATGTTAGAAACTAGTGTCCGTTTCATTGTGCATTTTCTTCACTGCATAGATTTAAATTTGGGTGTAATTTACAAAGTGTGGCATGTTTGTATCTCTTAATGAGGGTGCTAATCCTTTCATAAATAATAATAATACTTGCATTTGATATAGTACCTTATTATGTCTTCAAGACTTCTCAGAGCTCTTCACCGAATATACTGTTAAGTGAATTGACTGTATATTTTGTGGGCAAAACTAAAAGGCGCATTCTAGCCATATTCCAGCCCCAGTTAACCCTCCGAGCCAGTGTTTCTCTCATTACTAATCCAGATGGGGTTGCAGACCTTAGTGTCACTGATTGCAAAGTGGCAGTAACCATCTGCTCATTCCCATTCCCCTTCATCCCCAAATCCTGTCCATCTTTTTAATTATTGTTGACTATCTGTATCTGCAGCATGTTTCAGGAGAAAACTATTGCCTCCCATCTATCAGAGCTTGTGATCTCCAGCAGCATTCATAGACACACCTATTGTCAAAATGAATTCCTTGTTGGTCAAAAAAAGGGTCTCCAAGCAATTGAAGCATTGATAAATTCAGGAAGTGTATATTATGACAAAATCATGTATCAGTTTAATCTACAAAGGAAACCAAGAGATATAGGGAAATCCACCTACCGATATCTCATAACTTCAATTACAATCAGTTCTGAAGGTCTCTCTAGTGACCTACATTGTGTTCTTAGCTCATTCCACTTTATGAAGCTTCTGTTTTGATTTTGATTCTAGCTCAGAGTTGTACGAAATGTCAGCTACATTTATACTGCTGCTTTTGTTTGTAGCATCCATTGACCAGCATATTGAAAAGTTTTGTATGTAGTTTGACTTTGTAAAGATTACATCCCTTCCAAAAAAAATTAAAAAAACAAATTTGGTCACTCAATCCACAACTGTTTGTGGAAAACTGTTGGCTGCCATGTTTCGCCCCCAAAATATACAATCAAATCACTTTACAGTATATTCTATGAAGCGCTTTGAGACGTCTAAAAGATGTGATAAGTCACCATGAGGCACTATATCAAATGCAATGATTATTATTATTATTATTGATAAGCATTGTATAATGTTTGAAAGTTGAGGCTACTAAATGACTAAGGTATTATGCTCAAGAGCACACTTTGCATCGCAATACATTTGGCATACGTTGTAGTTGTGCTAGAAGCTTTTTCCTGAGTGCTCAAAGGACAAAAATGTTGTCCATTCCCACCTTATTTCGCACATAAAAGTCACCCACAAAATAAAAGAAAGACCAAGCCTTAAAAAATTGTCAGTTTCATGAAATTATAGCCTGCTCAAATGGTCTGATTTCTGATCTAATGCAAATCTTACCTTAAAGCATGGTAGGTCAAAATTCCACTTAATCTTAGATTTAGACTTTCACTGATTGCCAGGAGGAAGTAACCATTCCTTCCTCTTCATCCTCCGATCTGGTCCATCTTTTCGATTATTCTTATCCAGCAGAGGAGCTTTGCATCCTAGCAAAACAATGAGAACAAGTTTAGGTTTGCGTGGAGCCAGTTTAGATCATTTCTTCCTAAAAAATTAAAGATTGTGGAGAATTATAAAAAAATCTTCAATCCAGTCTTAATTTGGAAGCTGGTCTTTTTAAGAACTATGAAAATTTGGCTTCTAAATTCAGACTCAATCTAAGTACTTGCCACAATTCAACGCGATCTGAAATTTTGAGACAAAATGGTCTGACAGGCTAAGACTAGGTGAAATTTTGCTTGCAGTGGAACATGATTATTATGACAGTAGTAATCACACAAGTTGAACTTCAAGGGAGGTTAATTAATGTGTGCGAAAGTCTTGGCAATTCAGAGTTTGGTTGTGCCAATTACAATTATAATATAAATATGATAAACAGGAAATAAAAAGCAATTCATTGATTTGCACCTGAGCCAGCAGTCTAAAGGCATGTAGCAGCACTGACTCCAATTTTAGTTGGGTCATTGATTGTCCCTTCAGTGGGAGGATATTGAGGTAATTGTAAATACAAAGACATTAATCAAGTTTTAAGCTTCACTTTACTTGATGCACTAGGCTCTGTAAAATCTAATAATAATTGACAGTATTCATGAACAAGAATTTAAAGAGAAAGGATATTCCATTGAATTGACTTATAAACAATATAAAGGGAGATGCTGTAGTTGTATTGTTACTATCTCTCCATGCCGCATGTTGCAGTAGTAATAATAATATAATATGAATAATATTCATATTTGATATTGTGTAACTGGTTTAATTGGTAACACTCTGAGTCAGAAGGTTGTGGATTCAAGACCCACGTTGTGCCTTTGAACTCACATAATCTAAGATGACACATCAGTGCAGTGCCGGGGAAGTGCTGCATTGTTGGAGGTACCATTCATTACAGATCATTAAACATCTGACAAGCACTGGTTTGAGCCCTTGTTAGGTAGTTAGCAGGAACCAGAAACTCCTTGTGAGCTGTAATGGTGAGCAACACAACTGAAATGCATGAGAGCATTTGCTCCATCCTCCTACACACACACCCTTACCCACTGAATGGTGGTTTCACTAGTTGAAGTTGTGGATGTTTAGCAGCAGCTGTTGCTTATCTCTGTCAATCTGAATGGGTGTGTGTTCATAAACCCAGACTCCAGGTAATTCCAGCTGTTGTCCCAAGCCTCCCTTGGGGTCTCCAAGTCAAGGTTTGGGGACCCCAATGTACTCTAAGGTCCCCAAGCCTTGGCTCTTGCCAACCTGTGCCTAAAACATTCCAGAACTAGGTAAGCAGGATGCACCCCTTCATGGAGAGAGAGCGTGTTCCATTCCAAAAATCTATCTCTGGGATTTCCATGTGTAGGTGGGATGCAAGGAATTCTCAGTTTGGTTTGATACTCTTAAGCACGGTGATGGTTTTCCGCATGTGTCAGACACCCGGCTGACCAAATCAAAAGTGCAAAGTTTTGGAAAATTCTTAACTATGGTCATTGTTAGTTTCCAAAACCAGCTTTCAAACATAGACTGAATTTCAGAATTCTCTAAACTTCTGCACTCTTAAGTTTGAAGACAATAGTTTTAAGGCTTGATGATTTCCAGGCCTCTGAGAGACAAAGTTAAAATAAACCTTGAATCTTAGCTCCTGTGAAGTGTTTTAAAAGGGGCCAAGATATGAGATTATCCTTCACAGTAGATATCAAAGTTTTACAGCTATTTTTTATATTCATTTCAGGCTCAAAAAAAATGTAGGTGAAGCACATCAGAAACTTGCAGAGAGACAAGAGCAGCACAATGAAGAGGATGATGGAGTGAACAACAACTGGATAAAATCAACCCAAACACTGGCATGTTAATGCTTGCACTGGGAGCACATGAAACCAAGTATACCCTGGATATGATAGGAACTCCAGTAAGATTTTCAAAACCTCAAAAAAAGAAAGCATCTTCATCCAGTAAGAGTGTTTGGCAAACAAGTGTTGCTTGAGGGGAGAGAAAAGGGAGAAGAGATGAGTGTCATATTCATAACTATAGGCTCGCTTATGAGTGATGAAATAACACGTTTCCATGCAATTTCAGCTCTGTAGTGTCCATTTACAAACAACAATAACTTGCATTTATATAGCACCTTTCATGTCAGGAAGACATCCCTCTTCTAAAAGACATTCAAACCTGCTCTTCACATTAACCATACAGAAATCTATCCTATTGTGGACACTAGCCCATCTACCTTATCTCCTGCAGGAAACTTCTGCACACTCCTTGATACCCAAACATAACTGAACACAAACGCCTGAATAGTCATCCATCCCACACATATCCATCCAATATTATTCATTCCTATGTGTCTTCGTTTGCCGACATACATTTCCCCCCACCCTGAGTATTTTATCGGTCTTTGCTTACTCCTGTAACTTCCAATACTGTTCCCGTTCATTGTTACCAACCAAATGATCACCTGATTTGAGTCTAAAGGAGTTATTAGTTTGCCAAACACTTTTTCATGAAGACTGTAACAAGTTAATAAAGCCAGTTGCCTCGTGAAGAAAAAGCAATTTACGCCAAGTCAACACGAAATTGAATTTTAATGGATTTAAATGTTGACTAAACTGGAGAAAGAGTATCCACAAAATTCTCTGATGGGACAAGTCGATACACTGATAAGGACCATTTCATTTAACCTGCGTCTTAACCTGCCTAGAAATATTTACCGCTGACTAATGTAATCCAGGGCTCAGCTGTTGTGAGCAACGGCACTGTCATTGTTTAGCAGCTTTGAGTTTCTGTCACTCAAAAAACACAATAGAAAAATGATTTATATGTTTCTGGTTTAAGCTTTAATTCATGGATGTTACTGTTTGCAGGGGGTGAAAGTCAGTTTTTCAAAAGTTGTACAACTTTCAAAATATAATAGCCTTTTGAGACCTAGAATAGCATATTTTGCACCAAAAATAAATACAATCTTACAATTTCTGTGCATTTCAAATATGTTGTTAATCAGCAATATGGGGTAATTGTATTCTGCTGCACAAAATGCTGTGGCCTTGTAAAGGAAGATCTATACTGGCAATTCCTATGTTGTCTTATCTCAAAACTCTTCATTTATTGTCATTTTGAAATGTAGTGATCTTCACTCACTGTTTTCTAGCTCAGTGTAGCAACTAATCCGCACCTGCAACAAAAACAACAACAACAAATTACATTTAAATAGTGCCTTTCACATTGCAAGGCCGTCCCAAGGCACTGGACAGTTAAGGGTATGGACTCAAGCTGGGGGTTGGAATTAAGAGAGATGGAGGGTAGGGGGTGAGAGAGGATGGTCTTGAGACAGACCTGAAAGGTGGCAAGGGAGGGGGCGAGTCAGAGTGTTTCCTGGATGGAGTTCCAGAAAGTGAGGGCAAAAACACTGAAGGTCCGACCACCAATGGGGGGGAGGGGGGGGGGAAGGGTGGGACATGGAGAAGGCCATCGCCTACTGAGGGGAGGGAGGGGATGTCAAGGTGTCCCACAAGCATCAATGAGCCGAATAACTAAAATCTCTTTTGTGATTTTGGATGAGGAAAGTATATTCAAGTCAGGGGATGAACTCCTTGCTTATCTTTAATCGTGCTATGGGATCTTTAGCACTCACAGTAAGGAACCATAATTTGGGTTTAAAGGTTCACTTAGAAGAATGGCTCTTCGGGCAATACAGTGCTTCCCCAGTGCTGCATAGGAGTGCCAGGCTGGTCTGCAGATCTGGAGTTGGACTCATACCCAGATTCTAAAGGTCAGAGTCATGCAAACTGAGTGGAACTGATACGTGATGAAGATGATGCCTCTTTAAATCTGAAGGGTTGAGAGAATATTGATTATATTTTCATGGAAAGGGTTTCAAAGTAGCAACTGGACAGAAACCTTGAAGATCAAATTATGGGGCCCAATCACAGAGCTCTCCACAGTATCTTCTGCTACTTACTGACAAACTAAATGTAAGAAGTCACTGGGAAAGGGTGGGAATTTGCAGTTTGTATCTGGAAAGAATCATACTCTGGCTGGTGCTTCAAGGCAGTGATGTATTTTTGGGTTTCAGACGTATGTAAAACTAAGCAGATTGTGGAGTGCATACTGTCTGATATATTTCATGGAGTAGTGAACATATATCAGGCAGTATGCAATCCATTACAATATGAAATTCCCACTTTTTTTAACTCCCATCAAATTCTTCTCATCCTTCTTCCTCTGACGGACTATGGTTCCATGGAGCCTTCTGGCATCTTTAAATCAGGAAATCTGATTTATAACCGCTGAAAAACTTTTACAATGATAAAATTGCTTTGTTTAATTGCAAAAACAGAATTATTAGCTGACATTCATTTGTTGTCACTTTACGGCCATAAATAAGTTTTTAAGATACTTAATGCCTGGAATATGTGATCGCATTTATAAGTATCCTACAACAAGGGAAAGTTATGTAAATAGAATCTACCCATTGGAAATGACATTTCAAGGAACAGATATTTATCAGAGCATTTCTGTTTTTTGTTTCTATGGTGACCAAAGATGAGGCTACAGGAATCAAGTTGAAGGCGATATTGTGTCATGGATAGAAAATTGTTTGGGAGATAAGAGGTAGAGAGTTGGTTCAAAAGGGCTGCTCTTTGATTGACAGTGACAAGAGGTATCCCCAAAGGGATTGTGCTGGGTCTAAGCTTTTCATCCTGCATATCAATGGCAGGACAAAATAATAATAAATATGATCCTTACATTTGATATAGTGCCTTATCACATCTTCAAGACGTCTCAAAGCGCTTCATAGAATATACTGTAAAGTGAATTGACTATATATTTTGTGGGTGAACCGCAGCAGCCAATTGCGCACAGCAGTGTCCCACGAACAGTCATGGATTGAGTGAAAAATTTATTTTTATTTTTGAAGGAATTATTGCCCCCAGAAAAGCGATCTACCAATCGACGAACAACTGGGTTCCTACTTAATAGTCGGTAAACAGATGCATGTGGATTAAGAAAACTTGCCCAACGTTTCGCCCTGCCCGGCATGATTACAGGAATAGAGAGGAATTTTTCTAAGTTTGTGGATGACATTAAACTAGGAGTTGCTAGTTTACTTTGAACAGGGCAGGCAAAAAAATGTAAAGAGACAATAAAAAAATTAAACGAGACGGCTGAACTTCAGATAGAATTTACAACACTGCAGAGTGTGAGGAAGTACACTTCAGATGAAAGAATAGCTGTTGGGAGTATGTTCTAAATGGGAAAGTGCTAGGAAGGGCAAATGAATAGAGAGATCTAGGAGTTCATATCCATAGACCCCACGAAGGTTATACAAGCCTCAGAGGGTGTCCAGTAATGGTTCACTAGATTAATAACTGGGCTGAAGGGGCTTAGCTATGGTGAAAGGTTGTATTCCTTAGAGCAGAGGAGGATAAGGTGTGATTTGATTGACGCATTTAAAAACAATGCAAGGAATTGACAGGCTGGCTATTGGACAACTCCACTCTCTGGTGGGTGGATCCATTACACAAGAAATAGGCTTAAAATCAGAATTAATCCAGTTACAACTGAGGTCAGGAAACATTTATTTACACAAAGAGATGTGAAGATATGGAACGCTCTGCCTCAGAAAACCGTAAGCGATTAAATAAATAGGAATGTTTAAAATAGAGATAGACAGATATTTGGCTAAGAGAAATATTTACGTATGTTTCACCCACAAAATATAAAGCCAATTCACTTTAATATATAATATGTTAAATTATATGCAAACTCTGATATACTGTACAGAAATGACTTGTTTATCATTTAAGTGCAAGATTATTGAACTTGATGAGAAGGAGGAACAGATGATCAATGTGTTATTTTAAAGTAATAATAATCCTTGCATTTGATATAGCATTTTTTGTGTCTTCTAGACATCTCAAAGCGCTTCGCAGAATATACTGTAAAGTGAATTGACTATATATTTGTGAGCAAAACATGGCAGCCAATTGGGCACAGCAGTGTCCCACAAACAGTCGTGGATTGAAGTGACCAATTTTATTATTTTTTTATTTCTTGAGGGATTATTATTATTAGGAGTGTAGAGTAAGGAAACTTGCCCAAGGTTTCGCCCTGTGAGGCGAGTGCTCTAACCACTGAGCTACAGGACTCCACAAGGACCTATTGGTACATATATGTGTGTTTCAAAGTACTCTTCAGATGAAAGAATAGAAGTTGGGGGGGGTTTGTTCTAAATGGGGAAGCGCTAGGAATCTATGTATCAACATTAGGCGAATGCTGCATTATACCGAGCAAACAGTCTATTATGGGGTCTGTTAATAATAATAATAATAATAATCCTTGCATTTGATATAGCGCTTTTCACGTCGGGAGGACGTCCCAAAGCGCTTCACAGAACTCACTGTAAAGTGAATTGACTGTATATTTGTGGGCGAACGCGGCAGCCAATTGCGCACAGCAATGTCCCACAAACAGTCGTAGATTGAAAATGACCAATTTGTTATTGTTTTTGGTTTTGGAGGGATTATTATTAGTAAGGAGTAAGGAAACTTGCCCAAGGTTTCGCCCTGCCTGGAATTGAACTCAGGTCTCTCGCTTGCAAAGCGAGTGCTCTAACCACTGAGCTACAGGACTCCACGTTATCTGTTATCTGTCATGAGTATGGCAAGGTGTAATTATGCACCATGCCCCTATACAGGACCTACTGTAATCCTTTTCATTGATGTTATCATATTTAGGGACCCTTTTGTTCACACAGTTTTACACGTGGTTTACACATTACCTATTGGTACCCCGAGGAAACTTAACATAAAGCTTTCTGAAACCCTAGCAACCAATAAAGACCAATGTGTTGAGACTCTCACCCTTGTTACACTTGTTGCAGTTGTCTTTAACTGGAATTGTGCCAATATTCCATGCTGGAGGCACAGACCATATGAATGAAAAGTTCATCTTGAATTAGAACCTTCTGTTTCACTGGGTGTTTGCTCGTGTTCTTCAATTATGATATTTAAAATATTTGACAGCTTGAAAAATATTTTCTTGTGGGATAATGTGAGCCAGATGTTTGTGGTGTTTGGGAATCTCATCGCACAGTACAGTGAGGTTTACGATTACTGATTCTGTGCAAGTGAACAATGTAGTGCAGCTCAGGAGTTCACCCGGTAACTGGAGATCAGAACAGGGAGTCCTGTAGCTCAGTGGTTAGAGCACTCGCCTTGCAAGCGAGATACCTGGATTCAATTCCAGGCAGAGGGCGAAACCTTGGGCAAGTTTCCTTACTCCACACGCCTAATAATAATCCCTCCAAAACAAAACAATAATAAAATTGGTCATTTTCAATCCACAACAATTTGTGGGACACTGCTGTGCGCAATTGGCTGCTGTGTTTCGTCCACAAATATACGTCAATTCACTTTACAGTCTATTCTGTGAAGCGCTTTGAGACGTCGAAAAGATGTGAAAAGCGCTATATCAAATGCAAGGATTATTATGATTATTATTATAACAATGTGGTGAAAAATGTGATGTTTTATTGAGGTGAACTCTTCAAGTCTGTTATGAAATGTCATATTTTTCACCCCCAACAGCTTTTTCTTAATGATTTCATTCTAGTTAAATATAAAAATGAGGCATTGGCGGGGTATTCCATAGGTCTGTCCTTGATGGAATCCGAAGGCTATTTCTAGGTATGCTGCCGTTGTACTTGTGGTCAGTTCTGTAAGGACTCTGTTTGGCATCTACTTCACAATGGTGGAGTCCTGTGGCGTATTGGTTAAAGCACTCACCTTGCAAGCGAGAGGACCCTGGTTGAATTCCCGGGCAAGGCGAAACCTTAGGCAAGTTTCCTTACGCTGTTTACCTAGCAGGAAATGGGAACCCAGGTGTAAGTCGATTGGCAGATCTCTTTTCTGGGGTAATAATTCCTTCA